AATGACGCGGAGTGTGAGGAAGGAGGCAGACGGCGCTGACCAGGACAACACTGATTTTATTTTATTGAGATGTTGATACTTCCCACTTCCATACATACACTACCCCACGACTTCCTCTATTCCAGGACTCTAATAACATGCAGGCACCATCATGATTAGGGGACTAATAGTTATTGATCGAAGCTCTCCAGCATGTTGCTGGTTGTATTGCTCAATTCCTTCAAAGCAATCATAATCCCCTCTCCCAGCTCTAAATCGTGCATCTCCAGTCCCATCTCCGGTTGCATCATTGGCGCCAGAACTATGAGACAATAATCCACACTTCTGGTAAGCTGCTCGAGATCAGATTTCGAAGCAATCTGCATATACTTCTTTGTGCCATCCACAAGGACAAGAAGGGGCTTGAAATAGCATGCTTGGTCAATGTTACTTGGAGGATGCTTCCACGCGCTTCTCATCACGTCACACAACTGCTGCTCTGTAACAGAATTGAGTGATGTAACCAATGTCTGTTCAGGTGTGATTTGGAGGAGGATACAAGTTATGAAAAAGGCATGTTCCGTGGGTGATTCGGGATTACAGTACTTTGGAATCATGCTGATGCACCAATCAATATGGCGATCCCCAGACAAATGGGGGTGCCAGTCAGGATTCCTCGCGAGGGTACAGACCAGTTCGACATAGCACAGGTCGCGGGCACGAACGAAAAAGAGGTCGGAACCATCATTGGCGGGTGTGCTACCCTGGTGTGTACAAAGCAGGGATAAAATAGCGGGGGAGAGCTTGGTCAAAACTACCTCCCGTAGCGTCGAATCGTCAAGGGCATTAATCAAGGTGATTTCTTCTTGGGCACTGTGAGCAGCGCAAAGAGCGACGTGACGTAAATGGAGAGGCATGTTGCTGTCCATACAGGCGATGAGCCTCTCGATGAACAGATGTTGTTTAGCAGGGCTGCAACACACTCCCATGCTAGACAGTAGAAAGAGAATATCATATGCCACTTGGTGGTCGTCGGAATAAATGAAGTCAAGATAGTCTACAAGCCAGTCAAAGTCTTCTGGCGAGTGCGAATCACGTCTCCCAAACCGGTGGTCCAACCACAGCTCGGCAGGGTCCCAGGAAACATCGGAAGCAGCGAACGTGAAGTGCAGTACCTTTCGCAGCCCTGCCAAAGAAACTGAGGCATCTTTTTGTTTGGATGACCTCGCTCGCAAAAAAATTTTCCTGCACACTTCCAGGTTACGCATAGGGTTGAATGAAGAAGAAAGGTGAGGCCTGGCAAGCTCGATGATGCGACAAACGATATCGAGGAGCTTCCATGCCCGGCGTGCGACTCCTGTCCTATCTATGTCGAGCTCGCCTCCATCCCATGCCCAGAGAGCCTCTTGAAACTGCGCCAAAATGGACCTACTGAGTTGAGGCAGAGCAGAACTACACGATCTCTTTGTTAATCATGGCAGAAAAAATGCCGAATGAGTCTATGGCACCTTTTATCAATCCGAACTATGTCTTTCTTGTCAACCTGAGCCCCGACCATGACGCAAGCAAGGAGAATGCAATTGGCCAGTATTTGATTTGACGGAGAGGATGGGGATGATAGCAATTTTGATATCACTGTTATCGCGAGGTTTTCTATGAATCTAGTCACTCGCCCAGTTACAAAGTGATAAGGAAGAAGATGTGACAGCCGCTCATAGACGGAGTGGGGGCAAGTCTGTGATAAACGATAACCCCCGTGATTGCCATTTGTAAGACAATTAGCCGTGTTAAGCACTGTTCGGTTGGATGTGTGCATGCTCCAAATCTCATATAAGACATCCCAGTCTTCTCTTCCATGGATAATAAATTCGCCACGGTCAGGATATGCCTGAAGAACACGTCCATAGTATAGATGACTTAGAGCCATTGCACAAGCCGAAGCCTTCTCCTCCAAAGACAGTATGATGCGCTCTTGAATATCGACGCAACTCGTAAAAATATCAGACAGCTGATGCAGCATGTCTGAAACATCAAGATCCAGGGGCCATTCGACCTGCGGGACAAGACTGGCAGCAGCGAGAAATACTTCAGGATCTGTAGATGTCTGGAGTAGCCACTTGACGCTGTGGGCTTCGAAATCACTGGTGGGTATGTCAGGGAGGTCGAGGTTAAGGGTGCGATGATTCTGTGACAAAACATCTAGATCCTGGCCGAGCGGTTGTGCCTCTGAGTCCACAACCTTTGTTGAAGAACGCAAAGCCAAAGAACGCAGCCGGTTATCAAGCCTAGGAATTAACTGCTGAAGAGATCGTCGTGTGAATGTACCTACCGCATCCACAGGGCCTGGGGAGTGAATGAGCCCCGAGTATCTTTGTAATAGTAGATAAGATCGTCACCTCTAGATACTTCAGACAATCGGGTCCATCCCGATCTAACAATACTAGACAATCGTTCCAGCACGGCTGACATGAAACGGTCAAAACCTGTGCGTGTGGAAGAAGACATAACTCAGCGTGCAGTGACATCATAAGCCACTGGAAATAACAGGAAACTTGTTTGAATGCCAGGTGGAGAAATCCTGCAATATTGATTCAGATAGGGAACAACCACCAGAATTCATGATCTTACTGTCGATGCGCAACACTTACAATATCGTCGATGTCGGTGTCTGAAATGGACAGGCAGTAGATATCAGACACGCCATCACAGTCAGAGAATAAAACAGAAATCCAAAGACCGTCGTTCCAATGATGACCCAGGCGATGCTCGCCTGCTTGTACCACAAATTGGCGCCAAGAGCAATCCCAAAGAGAAGAAGAGAGATCTGAAGTAAGACCAGAAAGGATTGTACGACAGCATCAAAATGCCATGTGACGAGGCCGTTGAACTTCTCTTGCCTGCGCTTTGCTCGTTCCTCCTGCGAGCCGCGGCCATATCTGTTTGACTTGTTGTACCCGAGCCACTGCTTTCCCAGCACGGCCCCGAATGCAGCAAGCAAGCTCATGGACAAACTCACATATGCGATCATTTGAATCCACAAGGTCAGCGCAGTCAGAGACCAGGTAGATGCTGGGTCTGCAGGCTTGGAGCCTGCCTCAGCGAGGTTGCCGAGTCCAATCTGCACGAGTTGCTTCAAAAGGGCATTCGTGGTGTCACTAGGGTCGGGACTGAGGTTGGACCCCATCGCAACAATGAAAGACGTGCTGACAGCGGAGAAAAGACCAGACTGGTTAAACATCAGCTTCAAAATGGAATGCAGATGAGCACGCAAAACTTACAAAGATCAAGACAATGTCCATGTCGGTAGTGTATTGCTCGAGGAACTCACTGTCGTGTTCCTCTGCGACTCTTTTGTACACCCCCCAGAAACGAGACCGTTCGTCCTTTCCACTCTTCGACACAATTGTCGAGTCCTGGAGAATATCCAATACTTGCTTCATGATGTTTGCTCTGCGTGTGGGGCGTCGTTAGCTGTGATCGATAAGCTTCAAGTTTTTCGCTCACAATTCGCTTAGAGTTGGCTGGTCCTTCTCCGCCTTGCTGAGACAATTGAGAAGTATGTTTGACGTCATTATTGACAACTTACAGAACTAAATTGCCGACTGGTGGAACATTGGATGCACTTTCCTGTACCAGAGGTCCAGACGGCCGTGAAGGTCCCGCATTCGAGCTGCAATTCTAGTAAGGAGCGGCGAAGATGTCCGTCAGGGCAGAAACACATACATTCCTGATGGCAGCTCCACTGAAGGTTCAACATTTATCTTGTCCCTGTCTTGCTGTTAGATGCGCGACAGATTCCAGGAAGCTGCAACTCACTCCTCGATGGGTCCTACGACGTCATACTGCGAGGGAGGCTGCTCATCATTCAAGTTGGTGCATTGATCCTCGTCGTCGGTGCCTGATGCTTGTGGCATGAGGTTGTTATACCTACTATATTGAATCTCAAGAAAAACTAGTGAGATTGGGAAGTGAGTCTCAGGTGAACTGGCAGAGTATCATTACTCGGAGTGGTATGCAGCAAGTCGGTGAGTGGAGCAGCCGAGCGTGAATTTCAAATTGCAGATAATTGGTAATTGAGTCGATCAAGAGTTGACAAAATAGTCATACTCTATAGTATTTCCAAGTACTGTCTGGTACAAGTCTGGTATCTGTTGACGAAGGCACCGTCATGTGTGATCGCCTTCAACCAAAAGATGCAGCAGTGCACAGCCACTGCCGCTCCCGTGAAGTTCTACTATCGCTAAGTAATAGTAAATGGCACAAGTCGGGCAATGGGCATACTTGGACGTCAAAACTTGCTGGTATGTCATGTTCCTGATATTTAATGCTGCTTATATTCATGCAAAGATGTCAACCGCAGACTCAACAAGTCCCTTTTTTACTCCATCGACATACTGCCTAACATCATTAGCAATAAACAAAATGCACTGTCGGACTTGCACAAACTCTATGATCGATCGCGCGTCTGATCTCATCCCTTTTACCATCTTATCGCTAAAATTGACAACTCTCGTCCAGTCCTGCCCACAAGGATGAAAGTCTCAAAGCACTACGCTTGGACATGCAAAGTACCTATTGGCTTAATGGGTTTATCATGGAATTCGACGACGACATCCATGTCAGTCTTTACTCAATTCTCTACGCTAAATTTTGATTGGCCTGCATATCTCTGGCAAATAACTATATCCTGGTGTTCGCTCGATGCTGTAACAGACGATGAAGTATTAAAATGGATGTGGTTGCTTCAACAACAATGCATTCACGCGTTACATGGCCCACATCCACTAGTAACCTCCACAAAGTATCCTTGTACGGATTCTACAAGTGTCTGTCCACTGAAAACCACAAATCTACATGTGTTTGCCAATCACAAAGCACAATACTACGACCACAGTGGGGTCCACAAGCGTCTGTCCATTGAAAACATGGGTTTGTCCATCGCAAAGCACAATACCACAACCACAGCAGGGAATCGTATATATACCTACTCTCATACTTACCCAGCACCATCATCCGCTCCAGTTCAATCGTACATTCACCTCACAAGTGGTATCCTCACTCATATTCTTATATAACCAATCATGCCAAAGGTAAGCCCAATCAGGCGCATACTTCGTGCATTGACTTGAAGACTAACTCTCATAATATTTAGACCTACACTTGCTCTATCTGCAACCAAGCTTTTCCAAAGTTCGCCGACTGCAAGGCACACGAGGCCATGCATTCACCAGAAAAGTATGTGTTTCTACCCTAGGGTATGTAGCTCACCTAACTTGCATTCGCTCATGCAGTGCGTACTTCTGCACCTGGGAAGGGTGTAACTTTGTGACATTGCACAAAGCAAGCTTCCATTATCATACTGATGTGCAGTACGTGGTCATTCATCACCATCACCGATTCCACCTGATCAACAATTCTATTTGATTTCATTTTAGTACGGGCGAGCAATGCTTCGTCTGTCCTCATGATGGCTGTGACTACAGAACTCACACCTCTTCCAACATCACACAGCATCGCAAGAAAGAACATGGGTATGTTCCTCAGCCATGCAGTCGTCGTGGTCCCTCTGCAACAAATTCATCTGGGGCCCCGTCATCGTCCCAGCCTCCGCCGCCGGCAGAGCCCCTTCCCTTTGGTACACTCCACCAATACCAATACCAACTCCAACCCATGCAACCGCAACCCATGCAATCCTATCCCACCCAATACCAACCCCAATCCACTCAATACCAGCCTCCCCCACCTATCCACAACCAGTCATTGGACGTCTTATACGGCCCAGCAGGTACCGCAGACGACTTCACCATGTACACTGAACCCGCTGTAGAAACAACAATACTGAGAGGAACAAATGATGCTCCTGACAGTATCTATAAATGTTGAAAGGTCGCGCGTTGCCTAGTCTGCGTTACTTGAGGAGACAAGTGCGTTTGACCCTAAAGGGGAAGCGAGTACAGCAAAGATCTAGAGGTATGCGCGAGAAAGCACAGGTACGCGCAAGGTACGAAGGCATGGGAATGCGCGCGCGTATTAGCGCGAAGCGCGGGAAAGGCGCACGCGCGAGGCGCGAAATAAGAAAGACTAAACTTAAGTGATGATATGATACAAGATAAGAGAAGAGTGATGCAAATGAATAGAGATCTACTATGACTTTCTAGGTATTAAGTAGGTAAGTAAAGATGGGTGAAAAAGTTCAGTAATAGTATGTACTGCTGGCGCTTATATAGCGCGCCTAAGCGCAGTCATGCGGAGCCGAAGCGCTACCGAGTAGGTATGTAAAAATATATATATGTGAGAGTCCATGATAAAAATAAAGATGGAATAATATGCAATGAGAGAAATAGAAATATATGCACTAGAGAACATGGTGGACAGTGGATGGATGCATCTGGATGGCTGGCGCTAAAGGGCGCGCAAGCGTGGGAAAGCGTGCGCGCGTATACATCGCGAAGCGCGGGAATGGTGCGCGCATGGCGCGCGTTGCGTGGGAAAGCTGCGCATCATATAGGAATCACTGTGGATAGTACACAGAGTGATGCTATGAGTTCATGCTATGCACTTCTTAGTGAAAACTACCATATCACACCATGAGAGGCATGATTCTCTACACCACGAGGGCCCCCAATGGATGGACTGAGGGATGCCTGTGTCCTGAGTTGATGCAGAGACGCCCTTCGGAGATGCCAGGGTATGAGTATAGGCGTTATTAGTTTTGCATCATCTCAAGAATCGGACGTCACTTCATGTTGCTTTTTGCTTTTTGCTTTCTTGGTGATAGTCATTCTTTGATTTTTCATTTATTTGTGCACCATGAGGAACTCTGGGCACCCTTCCACTTGTTTATATATTTCATTTATCACTTTGCGATGTTTTCCCTGGAGGATAATACATTCTTTTATATGTAATTTGTTCTGAGTTGTGAATGTTCGTCTTCCTCAAGTTTGATTCCAGCGTGATCACCGCTCATTCCCTGTGTAGTTGAGGAAGAAAGGTAATCAGTCAGTAGGTGCTTTGACAGAGTCAGCAGTTCCAAAGTCCCAATAGATGTTTTATGCATGCATGTGACATTATCATCAGATCGTGATGTAAGCACTGGCGCGAGGACGCTGACCTCTACAGAAAAAATAGACTGATCAAGAGTACGGTGTCGCGTAAAATTAGGAGTCTTTGGCTCTACATAACCAATGAATACTGTCATGATCCACGCGTGTGCATGAAGTGCTTTGCTTACACAAAGGGAAGCGAGGGCGCTCACAGCTGCATCAGAGAACAGTTGAGTCTTGTGTTGAAACAGTTCAGTAGAGTCTGATTCGGCTTGTGGGTCAGACCGGTCATTCATAGCCGCAACTGCAGCTCTTTATCGCTGCTTTGCTGATTCGGCCTGAACACCATACCATAGCACTGGCACCATTCTTTACACAAAGTCTGTAAAGAGTCGCATACGCTACGATGAAACGAATCGTTCCAAGTCAGCGAGCTTCGCCAGACCATCAAAGAATCATTCGACCAGACTGGAGAAATAGCAATGCAGGCGCTGGAGTGCATAGTTGTCACGATTCTCTGTGTTCTGAGTGAATGTGAGGGCATACTACAGCCAAGTGCAGACGAGCTTGAGTCATCATAAAATTAAAGAAAGGCAAAGTTTGGGCAAAGTGATTCAAATCCTCTGAAGCTCGAGAACAACATTAAGTGCATGGCGTTTTGCGAACAAGCAGCTGAGGTTGAATTTCAAATTCCAGATAGTTGGTAATTGAGTCTCGATCGTCATACTCAGGCCTTCCCATCGTACAGCCCTACCACACAACAAAGCTCAAGCAGCTCAGCATTCACGACAGCCGTTCAAAATCTATTCACTCCCTACCCTGCTAGTCAATGCCCCTGCTGAAGTGTGTCAGTGTTCCCCTCAAGTTCCAGTCCAGTCTCGATGCTACATATACTTATCATGAACCTTTGTTTGTGGCGTAACTGATGAGCGTGTGGTGTTTATAGGGCCTGGAATTTGTGTCCGTGCATGATTCTTACGAGTCCGCATGCTAGCAGCATCGAGAATTTGACGTACATCGTCCCAGACATCTCCATCATGCTGCATTTCTCAGACATCCTTGAGAATGTAGTTATGGAGGTATGTATCACTTATGCTAGCCGATCGCACCACTGAATGCTTTTCCACAGTTCCGGACCCATCGCTCATCTAACAATTTTCTCAGATTGCTCTGGAGTGGCAGGCTGCTGAAGTGCCTATGTGTCGCAGTTTCATCTGAACAGGGCAACCACACTCCATGAAGGTGAGTTCATGTCCTTTGACATCGTCATCTGCGTCTCAGATCTCAGATGTGGAAGCCTCACCCATCGCCCGGACTTTCCAGGAATCAGAGGTTGGGACTGCGAAGCCTGCGCTGGGGAAGCTCGGATGGTCTATCGAGAACTGATGATCTAGAAGGGCAGAATGACGTGGAGCGTGAGGAAGGAGGCAGACAACACTAGCAATTTGCTTCCGGTGGACAAATTTATTGATTTCAGCGGTATGATTGGCACCTCTACCAACAAAAAGTGATTGTGATACGGAGACGAATGGTTTTTAATAAATCTGTGTCTGTCGCCCCATCTTTGTCTTGGTGCGCATATCGACGAAGGGATGTAACCGCGACAGCTGAGCGCAGAACCTTGTCCCCATGGAACAACTTCCCCTCCCCCAGTCAACATTTAGGTGCTGGTCTCCTAGATGTTTGCATCTCATGCTCATTGTTCCTCACGCTCCACAAGCGTCTACCAAGTCAGAGATGGCTGATGATTCAGTATCGATTTCATTGAGATCTTGATATGCCCCACTTCCGCGCATACACTGCCCGCAACTTCCTCTATTCCGAGACTCTAACGCAGCATGCAAGTCATGATTAGGGGACTAATAATTGCTGACCAAATCTCTCCAGCATGTTGCTGGCTGCAGTCCTCAACTCCTTTGCAGCAATGATGCTCCCCTTTTGCTGCTCTAAATCGTGCATCTCCTGTCCTATCTCCCGTGGTCGCCACTTCTGTCGTATGATCCACTCGAACAATCTGACTATGCCATCCACATTTTCGATGAGCTGCTCGAGATCAGATTTCGAAGCAATCTGCATATACCTCTTTGTGCCATCCACAAGGACACGAAGGAGCTTAAAAGAGTGCGCGTCATTAAAGGCATAGGGAGGTTCATACCACGTGGTTTTCATCAGGTCCCACCACTGCTGCTCTGTAACAGAATCGAGCGATGTGACCGATGTCCGTTCAGCTGTGATTAGGAGGAGGATACCAGCTATGTAAAAGGCATGTCCGCTGTAGAGGGGATTGCAGTACTGTGGGATCATACTGATGCACCGATTGACATGGCGATCCGCAAACAAACAGGGGTGCCAGTCGGAATTCCTCACAAGGGCATGGACCAGTTCGAGGTAGCACATGTCGCGGTCATCATCAAAAAAGAGGTCGAGATCATCATTTGCAGGTGTTGTACCTGGGTGCAGACAAAGCACGGACAGAATAGCGAGAGAGAGCTTGGTCAAAATAATGTCCCGTAGTGTCGAATCACCAATGGCATCAATCAAGGCGATTTGTTCTCGGGCGCTGTGAGCAGCACGAAGAGCGGCATGGCGTAAATGGAGAGGCATGTTACTATCCATGCAGGTGACGAGCTTCTCGATGAACAGATGTTGTTTAGCGGGGCTGCAAAACACTCCCATACTACCCAGTAGCAAAAGGACGTCATATGCCGCTTCGTGGTCGTCGGAATAAATGAAGTCGAGGTAGTCTACAAGCCAGTCAAAGTCTCCTGGCGAGTGGGAATTGCGTCCAACAACCCAGTGGGCTGACCACAGCTCGGCAGGGTTCCAAGAAACACGAGAAGCAGCGAACGTGAAGTGCAGTACCTTTTGCAGCACTGCCAAAGAAACCGAGGCATCATTTTGTTCGGATGACCTTGCTTGTAAGTAAATCTTCCTGCACATGTCCAGGTTCCACATGATGTGGAATGAAGGATTAAAGGTATCTTTGACAAACTCGAGGATGGGACAAATGATATCGAGAAGCTTCCATGCCCAACATGTGACTCCTGTGCCATTTTTGTCGAGCTTGCCTCCATCCCATGGCCGGAGAGCATTTGGGAACTGCGCCAAAAGAGACGCCTTGAGTTGGTCCAGAGCAGAACTACACCGTCTCTTTGTCATTCATGGCAGAAAAATTACAAAATGAGTCAATGGCACCTTTTATCAATCCGAACTATGTCTTTCTTGTCAACTTGAGCCCCGACCATGATGCAAGCAAGAAGAATGCAATTGGCTAGGATTTGATTCGACGGAGAGGATGGGGATGATAGGAATTTTGACATCACTTGTATCGCGAGGTCTTCTACGTCTTTATTCACTCGCCCAGTTACAAAATAATAAGGAAGAAGATGTGACAGCCGCTCATAGATGGAGTCAGGGCAAGCCTCTGAAAAATGAATACTCCGCGTATTGATTTCTCGACGACAAAAATTTAGAGTCGCATCGACTATCATTCGGTAGGCTCTGGGCATGATGTCGTAAATCCTAAAAAACACATCGAAGTCCCGTTCCTCGCGAGTAATAAATTCGCCACGGTCAGGATGTGCCTGAAGGACACATCCATAGTATAGATGATTTAGGGCCATTACACATGCCAATGCCTTCTCCTCCAAAGACGGTATGATGTACCACCAGTGGTCGATGCAACTCTTATAAATATCATACAGCTGATGCAGCATGTCTGAAACATCAAGATCCAGGGGCCATTCGACCTGTGGGACAAGACTGACAGCAGCAAGAAATACTTCAGGATCCGTAGATGTCTCAAGTAGCCACTTGACGCTAGGCGCTTCGAGATCGCTGGTGGGCATGTCAGGGAGGTAGAGATCAAGGGTGCCTTCATTCTCCACGAAAGCATCCAGATCCTGGTCGAGCAGTTGCGCTTCTGAGTCCACGACATTTGTTGCAGAATGCAGAGCCAAAGAACGCAGCCGGCTATGAAGCCTGGTGATGAATTGCCGAAGAGATTGTGTGCATGTAACTATTGCAAGTACAGGGCCTAGGGAGTGAATGAGCACTGAATGTATCTTTGTAATAGTAGATAAGATCGTCACCTCTAGATACTTGAGACAGTCGGATCCATCCCAATCTGACGATACTAAACAACCGTTTGACCACGCCTGATATGAAACGGTCAAAACCCGTGCACATGGAAGAAGACATAACTCACTGTACAGTAACGTCATGGGCCGCTGGAAATAACAGGAAACTCGTTTGAATACCAGGTGTAGAACCCCTGTAATGTCGATTCAGATAGGGAACGATCACCAGAATTAGGTAAAATGATCTTACTGTCAATGTGCAAAATGTGTAATATCGTCGATATTGGTGTCTGAAATGGACAGGCGGGAGATATCAAACAACCCATCACAGTCAGGGAATAAGATAGAAATCCGAAGATTGTCGTTCCGATGACGACCCAGGCGATGCTTGCCTGCTCGTACCACAAATGGGCGCCAAGAGAGATCCCAAACAGAAGAAGAAAGATCTGAAGTAAGACCGGAAAGGATTGCATGACAGTATCAAAATACCATGTGACGATGCCGTCGAACTGCTCTTGTCTGCGCTTTGCTTGTTCCTCCAGCGAACCACGACCATATCTGTGCGACTTGTAGTACCCTAGCCACTGCATTCCCAGCACGGCCCCGAATGCAGCAAGCAAGCTCATGGACAAACTCGCATATGCGATCATTTGGACCCATAAGGTCGACGCGGTCGGAGACCACGTAGATGCTGGGTCTACGGGAGTGGAGCCTGCCTCAGCGAGATTGCCGAGTCCGATCTGCACGAGTTGCTTCAAAAGTGCATTCGTGGTGTCACTAGGGTCGGGACTGAAATCGGACTCCATCGCGACAATGAAAGACGTGCCGACAGCGGAGAAAAGACCAGACTGGTCGAACATCAGTCTCGAAACGGAAAACGGAACACAGATAAGCAGGCTGAACTTATGAAGATCAGGACGATGTTCATGTCGCTAGTGTATCGCTCGAGGAACTTGAATACCCGGACTACGTTGGATAGAAACCACCAAATGCACATTTGTGCAGTCTCGTTGCAATTATCTGCCATTTTGTCAACAGATTGCAATACCCACCAGCCGTGAGAATGAATTATTAAGTTGCCCAAAGTCACCACAGTCACCTAGTTGAGCACTAGCGGTGATACACTATCATTCTGCCATGCCCTGGTCGTGGTATGTGACCTTTGGCTGTTGCGCAATCTCTAGATGAATGCTAACATCAGATAATTTTTTATATGGCCGGACTGCTTTGGATCAAAGCTGCCAACGGCCCAAATGTGTAAAGCGATTATAATGCAGTTTCAATCCGCTTATCACCGGCAACCTATGCTTTTCAATGGAACTTCGACAAATCCTCCCTTGACGTTGGCATTAGGTAAAGTCTTGCAACGTTAGTTTGTTTTGGACCGAGTTCCCTTTGGTACAAGGATGCGGAACGATGATGATGCGGTACTATCCGCCAGCTTACTGCTAAGGTATGGTCGTGAGGTGCAAGGTGAGTCAGTCATTCCATTCTCCACAAAATCTTAATAAACTCTGGCAGTAGATAAGGTCTTGTGACGTTAGCGTGTTCTGGACCGAGTTCCCTTCAGTACATGGATGCGGGGCGATGACGATGCGGTATCATCTGCCAGCTCACTGCCGAGATATGGTCGTTAGGTGCAAGGTGAGTCAGTCAGTCCATTCTCCACAAACTGTTGATGCACTCTGGCGCTAGATAAGGTCTTGCGACATTAGCGTGTTCTGGATCGAGCTCCCTTCGGTGCAAGGATGCGGGGCGATGACGACGTGATACCATCCGCCAGCTTACTGCCGAGATATGGTCGTTAGGTCCAAGGTGAGTCTGTCATTCTGTTCTCTACAAACTCTTGATAATCTCTGGTACTAGATAAGGTCTTGTGACGTTAGTGTGTTCTGGTTCGAGTTCCCTTTGGTGCAAGGATGCGGGGCGATGACGACGCGATACTATCTGCCAGCTCACTGCCAAGGTATGGTCATTAAGTGTAAGGTGGGTTAGTCAGTCTATTCTCCACGAAGTCTTGATAAACTCTGACGCTATATAAGGCCTTGCGACGTTAGTTTGTTCTGGACCGAGCTGCATTCGTTACAAGAGTGCGGGACAATGACGACGTGGTACCATCCGCTAGCTTGTTGCAGAGGTAGGGCTATTACAATTCATCTCGGCTTATTTCAGATCATTATTGGCTGTAGGTCTATCTTCTGGTCACTCGAGTGCTCTAGTTGACGACAACATGCTTATGCTTATATTAGTTGTAATTTATTATATAAAAACATGTTTCTAGAAAGACTACAATGAAATTAAGTTTGAATCTGTAGTTTGTTTGATCGCAAGACATTTGAGCCGTATTTTCGATAAGGCACTGTTGGCGCTGATAGGTCGTTTAGCGGCAGAGGAAGTGGGAAACACTTGGCTGGCACATAACAATGCATGAGCCTCAGTGATATAACGAAGAGTAATAAAAAATACCGATTCCACCAAGTGAGTAGGTCATCAACCTCCTTAGATTCCTCAGGATCTTCGAAGAGGTCGAGGAGGCTATGATAAAACGTTTCTGAGTCGGTCGTTGTGTCGGTCCTTGAGAACACCGAAGAAGAACTTATAGCAAATCGGACCTTTGGTTGCATGTATGTCAGCTATCAGCTATTCAACGAGAAAGACATGCGTCGATGAACCTGAGTTGCAACGTAAGCTATGGACGCAATGGTGACGGAATTCATGCCATGAAGGCGAGCATTCCCGGACCGCGTGGCTTTCGGTTCTTTGTCGACCGAACTTGGAGACGTAAAGACATGCTTGTAGGCCTGACGTGCAAGCAATCAGTAGTGAACTATGTAAAAATACATTTGCCTACTCACACATACCAACAAGCGGCTCCTAAGAAGACCGCACCATGGGTCATCCGCATCAAACATATGGTGGGCATATAAGAAAATGGGCCATTGGTCCCCACAGACTAACATTTCGCCACTTCGGAGGTTCTCTCTCGTTCTGTTGAGAATCAAGCGCAAAAAACGTTGTCAGGACTACCGATGCTAGAAAAAAGAAAATGAAAACATACTCTGCGTCCTTCCAGTCCAACCCAGCAGGACAAAGCAGTGATCCGGTAAGCTCGTGGTTGAATCCCCGATCGATCTTTGAGTTCCTGTGTAGGGGGGGCTGAATTGCTGCCCCTTTCGGAGAAATCCAATCGAGCACTGCAGACTTCAACGTTTTCGTATCATCGCCTCTCGCGCCTGCAGCTCCCTTACCGATCTATGAATTGTAAGCACGAAGTCTAGCCACACAGAAAACAACTCACCAGCTCTCCAACATGAATAATTTCCTCCTCAGACCCGGTTTTCAGTCGCTCCAACAGGCTGGGATAAGAGTCCAAGAGCTGTTCGAAAACTCGATGTTCTCGTCGTTCCCTACCAAAAAATCAGACAACAGTAAGTCAATAGAGACAATGTGTTTCACTCTGCAGGGAAGTCTTCCAAAGGAGTATCTTCCATCTGCTCCAATCTAAGGATGCCATTGGTGAGTAGAGAAGGATAATTACATAGTGCAAATACTGTTCGACCGAAGTGACGCCCATGGGATATAAGAGGATCGGACATAGAGCTGGGCAACAGAATAAGTCTGCAAAAGCTGTGTCGAACAAGGGCAGCTTACGCTTTTTTGCGGGGTCCCATTTGAAGGGCCGATGTAGCACGCTTGCTCGGAATGGTAGATATGGTCTCTTCAGTGGTCATGAGAGCTCGCAAGTCAAAAGTAGCTCGAGCATCACAGATACTAAAATCTAGCTTTTTATTTCCAGCAGCGCACCACGTGATATTCCAATAAGCGGTGTACCTGATAGCAGCCAAGCAGTGGCCAGGGTGGCTGACAGCTAGGCAGTAGCCGCAGTGATTATGGGCCAGGATGGCCTGCCGGAAATGAACAACCTTTCGTCAAATTGCGGGGTGCCTGATGCCAGTCAAGCAGTGGCCAGGGTGAGTGACAGCTAGGTATTAGTAGCCGCAATGATGGGATGGCCTACCGGGAGTCGGGACCGAGTAACCTTTCGTAAAATCGATGGTGATAAGCTCCATGGTCCGAAAAAAGTGCTAGTAAAGGACCCGAAGGATAAAAGTGTTCTTGGACTTTGCATCTTCTTGTATATCGCAGCTAGGCTACCATTGCCTATGCTGAACCTGGATATGCAACAATCATCATCGTGTCAGATCTCTGGACATGTTATTAATCTGAACCTCCGGTAAACTTAATGGCTTACTTGTCAAAGACTGGACTTGCTAATTCTATGTGTCAGGATTGAGTTAGTGCACGATATCACTGACAAACAAAGTGGCGGGTCCAAGCCTGAGGAATTCGCCAGCGTAAGGTAAGTGTCAGATACTATCATCAATCATTTTCGAAGCTCATCATAGATCAGAGAGGTAAATATTGATAAGGACTGCCCTACGACAGAGAGCCGCGAGGAGTCCATGGCTGATGTTAAAGAACGACTGCGACGTGCAGAGTTGGGCTGCACGCGACTTGAAGAGCTGTACAAAAAATACAGGTTGCGTTGGCTGGAAGAAAATTATCATGCCAGAATCTTGCAGGAATATGTGTCAAATGTAACCAGTACATCTCCTGGTCAGATCCCATGGGACGCCCCTTCTCCCATTCAATGTATGTCCGGCGTGTGCTCCCCTTCAATAAACTGACTGTCTTTCTTAGCGGACGACGACGACGAATTTGAGGACCTAAGTACAGAAAAAATACCGTAGTGTTACCGTGTCGCATGATGTCACGGCGCAGACAACGTTGGTGACTCCTATCTTCGTAATGCGACTCACGCGGGACATATCCATCCTATATTTGCAATACTCTCGCAGAATAATTTCAGGACAAGATGTTACTGCGGCCGTATCCTGGCCAGGCCAGGACCGTAACTAGCAATCACCAATATAATCAAAGAACCTACCACAACACCGAGCGTAGTGAAGCACGCAATCATTAGAGGTGTAGATGGTTTGAAGTCTGAAGCAACACCTGCGAAGAATCCAAGGATGGAGCTTGTCACACTACCGAACCATAAGTGACACAGATAATCACGATCGAAGTTTGCTTACCTCAATACACAAAAAGAAGTCGGTATGCTTGTAATGACGACAAGCATCGCCGTCCTCTTTTGCAGGTAATATACCTGTCCAGTCAGTAATATCAGGCTTGTTCTTGAGAAAAAATAGTGTGAATCGAACTGCAAAGTCAATGGATCTCATTCTCTCGCCGAAATGTTGCACCATCGTGCCAGCAAAAATGCAGCCAACACCGAAAAGTAAAGAGCAAGAACATAACGTCTGTGAGGTCACTGTTGTGCCTAAACCTGGAACAGCAAGGATGGCGATGTCCAAGGCCATGGAGACACCAGCCTGTGGGTGAATAAGTGGGTGGATACCCTCATTGATGTAGCGCCTACCAAGGTAATTTGACTTTTCGTCTGATTGCTAAGATTGTCGACAAAGTTTTTGACCTCCACTCCATTCACGATACCATCGACGGAAGTCCTCTTGACGCTTTCGATCATGACCGGCATGCAGAAGACTGTAGCTGCAGTATTGCTCATGAAACAAAGAAGTTTACAGTTTCTACGCTTCTCTTTCACTGCATGGTTCCGAATCAGTCGAGCTTCTGGTTGGTTGTGGCGGTTAAGATACTGATGGTGCCCTAAAACGTTCATTTACTTGATGACGATAGGGTTTGTGAGGAAGCAACGCACGTAAGATGTATAAAATTCTACCTGTGAATTGGGATATCAGTACTTGATTTCAGCTTTCCAGGGCTCACATACAACAGAACACGATACCGGTTTCATGTATGAGCCCGTTGTCTGCAAGGTCTTCTGTTTCTTCATTATAAAAACGCTATGCAGGACTAGATACAAGTACGAACCGATACTGGCTAGATGTTCGATGATTTGCTTCATTTGCTCCAGGGTCCAGAATATCGAACCGGCCGTGGATTGACTCAACGTAATTGCTTCTGTGCCTGCTAAGCGATTCTTGCCATCCCCGTGATATAAAGCTTACCTCCAATATAGCAAATAACTTCTCTCCGTATGCTTCTCACAACCGAAACATCCATCGACGACTGCTGCGGAAAGAATTCAAAGTGTTTCCTGCCGCCAGTGAGAAGTCTTTTGATCAATCAGGTTGGCACATCCGACCACTTACCAATACTGAGCCTCGAGTTCGAGTCCTACATGATTGCAATCGGTCTCAAAGAAAAATTCAAAGATAAGGTACTGACTCTTATGTTCCCATTGGCTTGGCTGGACACAGTCGCGGAAAAGAAGGTAACCGTTTAGTTCCTCTATCCAGGCAATGATACGCTGGTCCGGAACCACGTAGTAATATTGGAACTTTTCTTCTCCTCTGAACATTGTTGGATGAACAACCAGTATCCACGCATCTTCTTGCGTCACAGCTCGTAATGCATCGACAAAGTCATCGATCTTCTGGGGATCCTGGTACCGCCTTAGGTTTACCGAAGTATACGTTCTCTAAATTTTTTATCGAGTTTATCACTTATACGATTAGCTAGGCAGCACTCACCTTGTCCTTATGATAGTAGTATGTACCACCTAACGGGTGGACAAATTCCTCCCAATTCCCATATTTTAAGGGCCTGTTGATGGCGTTGAAGTGAATCCATTATGAAGAAAAGAAACTAACCTAGGGACATCAGTTTTCTTCCTACCAACGGAAGTATCTTCAGGTATATCATCACTAATTGTACTGCAGAAAAAGTCAATCGAATGCAATCCTACTCGCAGACGGGTACTCACAGCATCATCGCTTCAGCGTACCGCGGGAGTTGCGTTGGCCAAATACCAACCGCATGATTGAGAATCTGTTGCTGAGAACTGTAAGTTGTCTAAACCATGTTAGACTCTTGATCATGAGCACGTCCAAGAGGCACAGTTGAGCTTACCATCATGTTCAAGCCAGGAACCTGTGACTGAAGGTTGTTCGTGCCGTAGTAGTACGGAGAGTACAAAGACAATCGAACCAAACTTCCTTTTTGGGAATTTTATGACGTAGTCATCAGCGCGCTCAACTCAACAAGTAGACCAGAAAGCAACCGCAATGACAAGTTCCATAGATATCATAAGTAAATTATCGATATATATAGCCCACAAATATATTTATGCTGCGAGCTAGAGGTCTATATCAGAGACTGCCCCCACAGCAGTAGACGAACCCTAAGTATCAAAAGAAAGTGTTAGGACGGCACCTTATGCCAGCAGAAACTTTTCGCCCTACCCACTGGTGCAGTATATGTAGGTTGGCAGAATTATCCACGTTCTTGCGGCCCAACTCGAAAGCCTATGCGAAACGGCATTGTAGATATCGAGATGGTCCATCACCGGATCTGCATACTAAATGAGACGAAACAAGGAAAAGAAAGACATTAGTTGAATTTTAGAACCCGGCCACCTGTAATGAACGCACGGAACCCAGACTTGCGGTGTACACTACTACTTCGTACAGCTCACCCATCTGTCGAAGAAACTCGTCTACTCCTGGTCGCTTCTGTACATACATGTTGTGCCATTGATGCTCAATTTGGACAGGAACGACAAAGTCTGGATCTGGTATGGGCTGACAGCGAGGTACGTCAAAAGCAGGTATGAAATCGGAGTGAAAGATATACCATGATGTTAATATGGACGAGGGTCTGGTCCAGGTCAAGCACTAAACACTTCTTGCCAACATGTTTAGGCGCGATGGGTGGGAGAAGTGGCCATGACTTTCCGTCCTGTAAATTCCAAGTCAGAAATATATCTATTGGACTACGGATCCACTCACAGAGCCCATGGGAATGCCTGCACCCCCATTCCTGATCAGCATTTCATCTTCCTCGCTTAACTCATCAAACGAAACATCATCCGACTCGTTACCATGTTCGGACGGGCGACTTGCAGAGGTCTTTAATACTTGACCAGGAACAGAAGAACCTGGCAGTTGTACGGCCCTACTGGTAGCGCCCGCAGTCTCTAGCAAGTCCTTAAGAGGTACAGCAGGTTGACCTGAGGATGCGACCGGAACTACCGATGCGACCGGTGCTTTTTCAGAAAATTGCTTCACAGCATTGTCCGCGGTCTTGTGAGCCAGTAAAGTAGGACCCGACCCAACGCTTGCCACACCATCGACGTCGATGTCATGAGCTCGGGAATCGGCTCCGAGGCAGCAGAAGAGCTTGCGAAAGAACGTGGCCAAGAAGCTCTCTTTGGGTTTCTTGACACGTTTGATCTCAGAAGACTCTACAAATGAAGCGTGATCTTTAGATTGAGAGCGACACCGGAGACTGCTGCGCCTGGAATGACTTTGCGAAAGGAGTGTGGATGTGCCTGCGGATTCTTCGCGCTTTTCAAGTGCCGGAGATGCAGTAGATGATGAAGAAGTATATGCAGCACTGCCTACATTCTCTTTGGAAGAAATAGAGGGACGAACGCGTGGTGGGACCTACTGGTCAATGGCATGTGGCGTCCTTGATAATGAATCCTTCGAAGGCGCGGACGCAGCAGCTTTTTTGTAAGCTGTAGATTGAGTATCTGATGGCATGATGATTACAGTCCTGGTATCTATCAGGAGAGCGTCGTCGAACGAGAGGTCCTCAACAAATGACAAGCAGGATGAGTACGAGCAGTAAGCTTGAAGGGAGGTATTGAACTACTGCGATTGTGAACAGTTGATATAAAAAGGGGAGAGTTGATGCAGAGACCTACTAGTACTAAGACGACTTGAAGGCCGTGGTCCAACCGCAACCTGCCTACAGCGTTGCCTCCCGTTAAGCGGCACTTGCGGCCGTCAACCTAAGCGTCAATTATTTGCGGCCGCAGCGGAAACAACAAGGCAGCGCCAAAAAACGTTACATATTGCGTTCTGTCAGCCGTAATGTGAATCCGAACCAGGTACGGCATCTTGGATCCAGACATCAGCTTGGCTTGAATGGTGACGTCTGTGGGAGAAAGATGACTGAGTTCAAGCGCTTGCGTCTTGACCCACCCAGGAGGTCCGAGATCTTTGAGAAGGAAGTCGTCCCTCGGCAACTGGTTGGGCAGCTCAACGCTATTGTTACTTTCACGCCGAGGTACTCGTTGATCTCCTCGACCTGCTTGGTGATACACTGTACAGGAAGGCCGCAACCTGAGTGCGAAGATCTGCTGCAGTGATGAATGCCCACAGGATGTTCCTCGGCAATACATGGGTGTACGAAGCAGCGTCGTCCTTGATATCATCATTGGAGACATAGATATGTTGGAGATGGAGAGGAAGATGCGTAGCAGAGATGGCACGGACACGCCAATCAGATTTGCTGCTAAACACCTGCTGTTCGTAGTTGGTTGTCGTGACGGTCTGAATCGTATCACCGTGAACATTGGTGGTCTGAGTTTGCACAGCGGTGACTTGACCCTGCGCCTCATTACTCTTCTCAAGTTCGGCCATCTGCTGGCGCTGTACGGAGGGAGCGGCAATCTCTTGACCAAGAATGATGTCGCGAATTTCACTCGCAGTCAAGGACGCGATGTTGACGCTGTTCCGCTTGCCGAAATCCTTGGACTCGATGAGTTAAAGTTCAAAAAGTGTGCGATATTACTTACTGCCAGTATAAGATCCTTCATTGCGACCTCAACTTTGATCCATTCATCATCTGTAAGAGTGGGCCAGACGAAGTGAGGCTCTGTAATGGTCGACTTGTCCGGGTGCAAAATAATCTTCGCCTTCTCGTTGTTGACGTGCAAGCCACGAAGAAGGAGGATAAGACGAGAGAAGGCAGTGTAGCTGGACACCGACTTGAGCCAGTCGTCGTACAAGCTGAGCAGTACCATTTGAGGTTGTGTAGCACGCTGTGAGAAACAGTATCAGTAATGAAGATGTAAATACGCGTGGACCCACTTACTAGGATCAAGTCACCGAACTTCTCCATCTTCATGCAAACCTGGAAGGGCAGTTGTAACTCACTTCCCTCGATGACGATGTTCGGGAAATCAAGTAAGTGAACCTCGAGAGGGTCCAACATGCCCTTGCGAGTGACGATGACCTGCTTTGGCTGTTCTTCAACAGGCAGTGAACGAACCAATGCAGCCACTTCTTCGGCAGTCTTCCACTTTGCGAGTTGACCGAGACGCTTTTGGCCAGCCCAGACACTGGTGTGGATGATCTTCAGGAACAACTGTCCAGAACATGGGTTGAAGATAAAGATGGCGCCGTTAATCGGTTTGGTCGTCAAGTTACCTTCGAACGTCTTGTGGATAGTGACACGATACACATTAGTGTCGTCGACGAACCAAATGATCTGGTTCGAAAATAGTTCCGAATAGTTCTGGCTGTTGAGATAAGGCTCCGTGGGCTCAGAAGAGTACAGCTGGAGACCTTTGCGAATACGCTCGCGCAAGACGTGGCATGCCGGATTGGCCTTCATGATCTTGGCCATGGCTTGCTGAATCAGAGGCTTCATACCGGGGAACTAGTTGCCGTACGCAGACCACAGGTTATAGGCTAGATCCATGCCGATCATAACACCAGTTGGCGAGGGGTAGATACTCATGGAGTCGGACGCGTAGTCCAAGAACTTGGCACGAGTATACCGCTCGATATCATGGGTGTCGAAGTCACCCCACCGAAGCTGAACATCTATCCAATACTTGTTGCTGGTCGTGCCATCCAAAACGTCCTTGTTCTAAAGAAACCGAGAGATCAGATCAAAGTCCAATGAGGTATTGAAAGTGACCAACATCTGTGACTAATGAAGGCCGAGAGATATTCCATTTGTAGGCTGAGAACAGCAAGATATCGGCGCAAGACGAATTCATCTTGTAACTCTTACGAGGGTGAATAGTCTCCTTCTGTACTGTCTCGATCTGGAGAGGCTCTAGCTCCAGATCAAAGACCTGACACAAGTCCATGACTACACTTTCGTGAATCTTCTGCCACAAGTGCGCACGGAAGATCTGAATCAGCGAGATCTTGAGAGTGGGAATCTTGCCGTGCATGAAAATACCCGTCAGATCAAGCTGGACCTGGAAACCGACATAGACGTTGGCGCGGTTGATGGTCGGACTCCACCAAAGCGTGAATCGACGGTTAGGGATCTGGTTAAGACCTGACCGCTGGGCGTTGGTAAGTTTCTTGTATCGCATAGACTCTTCGATTCCAGACGCTTTCTCCCAGAAGAGACCCTCCCAGGTAGGGAAATAAGTTCCTTTGAAGAGCGTGTGCTCCAAGATACCCTCAACACCGCCTAGTGCAGCAATGACATCAACACGGTAGTTGTTCAATTGCCAGAGCTTTCCGTCATGGCGCTGAGATGTCCACCAGAAGGGGTTGCTACAATAGCCATTTCATTAGTCAACAATAAATCAAGGCAGGTGAAGGACTCGCTGTTTCAGCAGTTGGTACTGCTTCCAATCTGTACGCACACGCCAACCTCGGTCATATGCCAATGTATGGCGATCCTTTTGGAAGAGGGTGTTGATACGAGGAATACCGCGGTCCCAGCTATCTTCAAGATCTTCAAGGGTGAGGCGCCGATTCTGGGCATTGGCCTCCTTCCGCTTCATGGAGTACTCCGACCAAACACGAGCCGAATCCAAGAATTCTGCCTCCCATGGCTGAAGATATCTGTACAAGTTCGGAATCAACTGGTCCTCCTCGTGGGTCATACCAGCACGGAAATGCGTCACTGATCAAACGAACTGTCAGCCAGACGATGATTATCAAAGAAGAGAGTGAACGAACCTCCAACGTCAGTTTGCTTGGACCATCGCAAGTCACTCTGCGGGATAAGAACCCATCGAAAGCATTCCAAGACCACCAAGCTCCTTCGGTGTGTAGAAGACAACAGGAGGGAAACGGGATGGCATCTTACTGTTTAAGCCAATCTTGACACGAGTTTGAATCTTGTTCTCTGCTTTGACAAGAGAGTCCAAGAGCTCGTTTGTGTGGATGACAGCCTCACGGTAGTAGGTCATCAAACCGATCAACGCAGTGTTCCACTTGTTGACGATCTTCGAGAAAGTGGTGGAACCGGAGCTCATAAGGACCTGACGAATACGATTATTGAATTGCTGGACACCGTCATCGGAGACACGGAGGAACGCCTGCGCAGTTCTCTCTTTGGTTTGCTCGTTGGTGAGATTCCACACAGCGTCCTTCAACGAGAACTGCTCGCCACCCGTCGTCCTAATCTTGGGCAAGATACGGACCTCGAACCCGCACATCGAGAACGACAACTGTGGGTTGTCCTTCGAGTAAACACTGACAAAGGTGTCCTCCCACTCGATGGTGGTGAGTGAGCGCGGCAGGCTGTTCTTAACGTTCCAGAAAACTGCTCTTCCGAGGTTAACAGTCATGTTTGATGAGACGCATACGACAATCTCGAGGCCAACAGCGCTTGTTGTTATACCCGATGACGTTGTTGTTGGTCGGGTCAGGGTTGGCGCTAAGATAGCGTTGGATCAGGTCCCTTGCCTCATCCGCGCTGAAGCGGAAGAGAATGTGTAAGCGATCAACATAACGGAGTATAAGCGGATGTGGTGACGAGTCTCTGTTGCCGAGTCGCGATACTGCAAAAAGTTGTTAGGCATCTGTGGAGGACCCGCCATCTCGCTAGCTCGCTGCAAGCCAAGAATGAGGAGATCAAGGACGAGACCGTAGTACTGGAAGACGGAGGCAGAGAACTGAAGACCACAGGATGAGACCGAATGCATTCGTATGTGCCATGTCCTTGTAGGTCAGCACTGTGTTGTTCTTCGCGGTGATGTAGTCTGCCAAGTTGTGATCAAGAATGAGACGGAGGAGACGGTTCAGCAGGGTCAGGTCGATCTTCTCATACACCTTGGAGAAGACGGTCTCCATCATCACGTTGCACTCGCCCTCGCTCGTCTCCCAGATGTCTGTCAAGTTGTTAACGCCTTGGCACCACTTGTACACAAGCAACGGCGGTGGCTCCGTGTCGGCAGGTTTGATCCAGGCAGGGAACAACCCTCTTTTATCTGCCTCGAAGAAGAGGAATTGATCGAGATACTGTAAAGTATCAACGTCAGCATGACATATAACGGAGTAAATGCTGAAACCTACGGCGTCGGTGATCTTCTCAACGGGCTCGATGTCGTAGCACGGAATGAGTTTGTCGTACGTGTCAAAGAACTCAATACCAGCCTCCTTGAATGCACGCTGTGTAAGAAGCAGTCGCTTGATGCGCGACAGACATTCGTGCGGATTGTCATACGCCTGTTCAATGAGGGCAAGCTCCTCACGCTGCGACTGGTTAAGACGACCCTTGACTGAGTAAGCCTCCTTCAGTTTTTCAAGTGCAAGTACAAGCAATTTCGTATCGTGCTTGTACGACAGAGGGCTAGAGAAAACGGTAAGTTCAAAACGTGCAATCTTCGACTTGTTTTGTTTAATAGACTCAGGCATCATGTCGAGAATGTCATGCATGACAGCCGCACGTAACTCGAGGTCATAGTGAGATTCGACACGTTGCTTTGTCACAGTCTTCGCAATGCCCTTGCTGTTGCGTCCCTCGAACTGACGCGCGAGGAGGTTACCAAGCCAGCGCTCGAGTAACGGTACAATGCCTCGCATGAAGAAGAGCCAGACACGCCAGCCAGGAGCCCAGAAGCCATTTCCAGGACCCTTGCCGACAGGGCCAGTATTAAAGCGGTAGTAGATCAAGTGCTTGAGATCTTTTGTCATGCGAACTTGTCTCATGAGCTGGATGAATAAAATCAACAAAAAAAAATCCGCCTATAACCGAGATTATGCGAACCTTGTACTTGTACCGGTACATACCAGTCAATGCCCCAATGTGCGCAAAGATATACTGGAGTGCATCTGCAAGCTGGAAAGCATCGACATTGCCAAGGCGGAACTGAACGTGAGCATCAACAACAAGCTTTGTAAGGCGCAGAATCTCGCGACATAAGTGGAAGGCGTTTCCGAAGCGAGACTTTTTGCGCTCCTTCGTAGTAAGCGTCTTCACTGGCTTCAAGTTCATGTTATAGTCGAGATGCAAGTAGTTCAAGTTCTGAAAATGGAAATTAGCTTCAATGTACCCCAGCGGTCTCTAAGAAGGCTTACCTTTCTGTGGATGAGGAGATTAAGCATGTTATACCCTTGTCTGCACACCTGCAAACCGGCTTCCACCCAGTCAAGTTTTGTCGTCTGAAAGAACTTCGTCGCCTTCAACTGCCGGAAGAGATTCTTTTTAGTCATTGCCTTCTCAGGTTGACTCTTGAGTTCGTTGAGGACGAAACACTTGAGCAATTTCTGGTACGATACGCGAACTTTGACTGGCTGGTTAGGAGGACAATGCTCCAGATACCAGTTCTTCACCAGAGGTATGTCCTGCGCACGACGCATGCGGCCAGAGCGCCGATTATAAGGCTCAGGCGCCGAACGACAGAGGGCTAGAGAAAACGGTAAGTTCAAAATGTGCAAACGATGCCTCGCTTGCTTACGGGAATGGTATAGAACCAAATTTGCGGCTCTCAAGCCCGTGAACAGTTGCTGTGTAAATTGCAACGGCCTCTTTCGCACTGATGTACGGTCCATCCTTCAAGTACCCCATGCTGCCTCTCCCGCTCTGCTTTCAAGTACAGATGAGTCAATCGACCTAAGCACCACTAATCAGCTTTGCTCTTGACGTACCGTAAAATAAAGTTCTTGATCGCAGTGGGCATTCCAGGGACTTTCATGGGATGTTCGCTTTCCAGCAACGTCACGCCTCCGAGAGATGCTTCAGCGGGCCTTGCGAGGCCTCATTATATCTGGACGAACGGTTTTACTTTGAAGGTTACTTTTAAAATGGTCGAAGTGCGGATATCGTTACCTTTTTTGGAAGTGTCAATATTTCAATCGGTTCAAGCTTGAAATATATTTCAAAACATCAATACACATGGGTTATCGCTTCAGATCTTTTGTGATTCAGAATCAACGTGCAAAAATGTAAGCACTACTAGTAGGACGTTTCAGTTCAATATGATCAGCAAGATTTTAGGAAGATTTGAGTAAGACGATACAACAGGAGGTCAATATCAGGCTATGTAGTACCTGCACTGTATGCTATGCGCTATTATAGTATACAGTATTCGTGATTGGTGAAATGGGAGATCATGATACATTCCTGCAGCGGTGAGATGGGTATAGTAGATCATGGAGTGATGGTCATAGTTGCAGTCCGAGCCTGTACTTCATCTCTGGAACTCTAAAACATCTTAGAGGAACTTGAGACTATAGATAGTTACGAAGTAAATCAAAGAACTCACCTTCTGCACGGCCGATCTTATGTGCTGCAGTACGCGAGCGCAGCCGCCGGCGAAACGGCGCATCAGTTGCCTCATATGATCCCACAGCGGGGTTCGCGGAGTGGCGGTCTCGGGTATCAGAGTCAGGTACGCAGTGACGCGGCACACAAATGCATACCAAGTCTGCCAAAAACTCCAATTGTGACTGTTAAATGTGAGACTTTGCCGTCAAAATTACACGAGAGATGCTTACGATTCCGTCATTTCTTGCGTTCTCTGGGCTGTATACAACGCGGGACATGTTCTAACGAAGGCGTTGGATGATTTGATCGGAGGAGATTTGGCTTGATGGGCTTACCGTGAATATGCCTTATTGGGCGTTTGACAACAATTTTTGATCGATCTAATCAGCGAGTATGTCGCACACCAAAACAATGACAAACAACTTTGTGGGCGCTAATTTGCGAATGTGAACTTGAGGCGGTCGAGCTTTCGTACGACACCAGAGATCGTTTTACTAATGAGTAAAAGGGTAATTCATTTCTGAGATACGCGTGTACAAAAATATTCAGAAGGCACACCGTTCAGATCATGACGAGTACAATATTCAAGTTGATCACAGTGAGATAGTCAACGGTTTGAAGTAGGAAATGTCTATCTGCGCCATGCCAGTAACCGGAAAGGCGAATTCTGCGTTGGGGACTTCGAAATCTACGATGGACTTGACTTCTATGGGCCTGACGTCTTCAAGGGTCTTCCTCCGGCCGTCTGACATTACTTTGGGAATTCCATGCTTAGGCTCCAAAACTAAGACGTTTTCCTCCCTAAACGGATGAGACGGATGAGTAAGATTACAATGTTAAAGGAGACTGACTTGAGAAAAAGAAGCTCATGGGCTTCCTTGAAGAAGACGCTGAAGTCGCCTGGATGTTTGTACATGTTATCGAGGGCAGTCATGATGATAGGAAACAGCGCAGGAGCCTTCAAGTGAGAGCTGCTTTGTGGGGGATGAGTTAACCCTTGAAACATCTGATACATAAGCACAAATTTGGTCATCGACGTCCGACGAGCAAATAAGTAAAAGCTCACGAGGGTGCTGAGTACACCGACAACACCTTTTTGTAGATAACCTGTCCAAGATTGTACGGCGTCAGGGTATAGATCTGCCAATCTAACCTTTCCTTCAGCTAATTCGGCGATAGGTCGGAGTAACGAAGCCCAGAGCACTTCCCGGAAGGCCTGCGTGACAATAAGCTCCGTGAGGGCTCGTTGTATCTGATAGACAAAGTCTTAAGTTTCTATTTGATACGAATTTGCAGGTTCTTACCAGGTTTAGGTCCCCTGAGTCGAACAAACTAATCAAGTCGAGGATCTTCTGTTTCCGGTGGGTTTCGTGGGTCACGAATCCATCCGTAACATTCATGCTACCTCTGGCGACCTTACGTAGCTCAGAAGTAAATTCTATGTATAAGTCCGGGAACTGTGGAAAACGTTTAATGGTGACTGAAGGTAAACCGACAAATGAACGTACTCTATTGCGCAAATATGACCAATCCACGAGGGTCTCCCTCCCAGCTTTGTCCGTGACCCTCACTAATCACAACGTTAGTTAGTGGTGTTGAGAATTGGAGGCGGACACTTACATTTCTCATTACACAACGATTCGTATGTTTGACCGGTGAAAAACAGAGCTTTCAAAAAACTGGTTGTAATCAACTGCCTCGACACCGGCTCGGGCATATTAAAGGGGTTGGCAGGTATGCCGACCAATAAACACCCTACATAAAGGTATCTTGCCAACTTATATGGGCGTGCCCAAGGTGAGTCTATCATCAAACTTTTGAGCATTGTCCTCTGGCCATTGCTCAGTGAATCCTCTCGTGAGTTTTGTGTCCAATGGAGGTCTTTGTGAGGAAGTTGTGTCCCATCGAAAGGATGATTAGCAGGGAGGATCACAGTATTCGAGAGGCCGTCACCCTCCTCCTCCAAAGCAGGTGTGAGTACGCCAGAAAATGTCGACGCTGTGGTTACGTCAAACACGGAGGGATCATAATCAAAATCTAAGGGCAGGTGGAGGGACGTGTCATGGAACGATGGTCCAGGGAGCGACTGCCGAGTAACTTGATCAAAGTGCTGCCAAGATAACTCCTCCGAAAGCTTGACAGGAGGAGGGAATCCATATGGGAACATTGCCGGGGAGAACTGGAAGTCGTGTAACTCGTGAAGCTATGTATGACGCGCACTGAGTCCGACGATGTGGGGGGATTCGAAGGGAAACTCACCATCCACATGGGCACAAGTTTCATTTGTGTGCTGGCCCCACAATAAGGTGTCCTAGTATTCTCGAGAATTGAGGCGCCACCATGCTAATGTGTTCGTCTAATGAGAAGTGAACTCGACTGCATAAAAGATCTCTTACCTCAATAACCTCATAGATTGCGTATCTACTAATGTCATCTATGATGCCCAACAATCCCACTTGTCGTAGGAGCTCGTCAGCAAGACCACGACATTCTTCAGGCCACTGTGAACAAGTACAATTATATGAAAAATTTGACTTGGAGAATTACAGACAGACTCACATAGAGTGGCGAAAGATGATAAGCATGAGTGACATAGCCAAGGAAAGAGAATTGACCTGAAAGGCCTTGAAAGGGCTGAAAACACGGGTCAATTAGAGTGACGACTGATGACTGATAGTGAACCTCATCAATCTGCAGTAAGAAATCATGAGTGATGCGAATAAAGTCAGCCACTGATGCACTCACCCGAAGCGGAACAAGTCGCATAACTTCGTTCCTTGCTTGAACAAAAACATAGTTTTGAGCGTTGTTAACATGGACAGCTGGTAGCGCAGTTGACAGTTGCATCATCCCGGTAAGTTTGGAGTGATGAAGAATCAGACGACACTAAAAAGACCTTAAAAATTGTTCAAACATGCGCTTGTCTGCCCACATTACAGTCGACCGCTAGGCAATGATGCCGTAACATATCAGCCATCGACATGCGTGCCAGGGGTTTAGTCATGGGTAGGCCAAAGCCAGTGATGGCCAGTCACGGCAAACCATGTATTGGAAATATACCGGGAAGAAGCCAGGGGGCTTGCTAGGCGGCACAGCAGTGCCAGGCAGAAGCGAACATGAGTAGCCCAGCCCAGCCAGGAATCGGCACATGTGACGAAAAAGCGGGGGCGAATAAGGGCGATGCAGTAGCGAACAATTGATTATATTTATTAATTTTCATAATCGAATGTGTGACCGGCCAGAAACATCTCGTCTAGTGCCTGCATGAGTGATTCAGTGCTGGCATTGACTGCCTGATCGAAAAAGCCATGCTCCTCCGCGCCCACGTAATCTTCATCGTCGTCTTCGTCTTCGTCCTGTTCATCGTCACCGGGAATTTGGCAGTGTGTGCGCTCCATGAGGCCTCCACTTTCTGGAGGTTCATGTTCTGTCCGTACTGTCATCTCCACGACTCCTGCTTCATGAGAATAAACATGACCTACCCCAAGGCCATAATGAAAGCGCATGAGTGTATCGCGATCAACGAAGCTAGTGTAGTCCTATTATTAATGCTCATCTGCATCAAGTTATTTCAGGTCGCTCACCTATTAACATAGTATTCATGCCAATCGTGCTTGTCACCCGCAAGAGGAGAAATCCCGGATTCACCTGGATTGCGCTGGCCTTGAGAAAAGGCCGGGATGATATGACACGCCCTAAGAACCATCCCTGGGTCAACAAAACCGAACGCGTTCTGGTGTGCCAGCGGCCGGAAGCGAACTCGGCCCAAAGTATGTGAGTCCCACGCGTGAATTTGCACTGATTCATACCATCGAACAAGAAGAAATTCGAATCGGTGACTTTCGTACACATTGGCGACGCGCACGATGTTGACGTGGTGGATCCCAATGACTTTGGCATAGAGGTAGTGCCCATCATCACTGCGATTTGCGAGTAGCATAATGTTGCAATGCTGAGTCCTTGGGTTTACGACGTCTTGAGCTCTTCGAACGTCATAGGTGGTATAGTTGAATCGCGCGAGGTTGTGGTGATATATCCGATTCCGCTTGAAGAGGATGGTATTGTGCTGGTCGGTAAGAGCTGATCTCTCTAGAGGCGATTGGGTAGTTTCCGGCTCGAGGCGATCGAGAATATGGGTTTTCAATCCAGGCAGGAAATCCTAAGCGATGCTTCAAGATAAAGATCAACGCGTTACAGAGACTGCTTACCCTCATAGCAGGATCTCCTTTGTGGTCGCGAAGGTACTGACCAAAATCATCATACATTTTCTCGCTTTGGCCTATATGATGTTGGAGTTGGGGATCGTTGGCCATTTCAGGTACCCCTGCGTGAGAGGCTGGCTGTTGTCGTCGTTTGATGCGGCGCAAGCGCGTCTCGCGGCGTTCAATTTGAGTCAGTTGACGAACAAAGGTCCTTCGATCGGTGCGATGGTACCTGCCTTTCGGGGTACGATGCTCTAACTCCCCCTGAGAAGGTGAGTTAACATATACATAGGCAGCAGAATACAACTCACTGGTTCGGTACTGTACGAATCGGTTGTACCAAAATGACGGATGGAGGACACATAATCTCCAAGTACATGGAATTTGTACGTCTGAATATTGAAAGACTTCTTTCGCTTTGGTTGCTTGGGTGCAGGTAAATACTGAAGCTGCTCTATCGCTTTGCCTTTGCCTTTGCCTTTACCTTTTCCATTATCTTCATTAGCTCGTCCAAGGTCATTTCCATTGCGTTTAGCAGCATCTTTGGCCTGGCGACGAGATCGCGCACCGACTTCGCGATCGAGCTCCTGGGTCTGGTATGAAGCGCATACCTTTTCCTTGAAGTGACGAAACTGTTCGCCAAGATGAGTCGTCTGTTGGTCGAGAATCTTTAGAGTGATGTCAGAATGCATACGGAGCTTCGCAAGCCCGTGCCAGTGTGACATGGTGAAAAGGAGATTCATAAGAACTTTGTTGTGAGGGACGGGTAAAAGACCGTCGAAGACAGGGATAGAACACTGACAAAATTAGTTCGCGGCTATGTATGAGAATCTTGCGAGTACATACTTGTAGAAGATCTTCGAAATTTCGCGCAGCCATGTTCGACATCTCGGAAACATTCGAAGAGAACCGTCTAATCGTGGCCGGTCCAAACGAAGGGACCTTCCTATACCTGTCAAAGGTAAGTTTAGCCTGCAAAGCCGTTGTAAATGAATATCTGACAGACCTCTCGTCGAGTTTATTGATCAGGTCCTTATCCAAGGCAGTAAGAATTCTTAGTAGATGGACTAGAAGCATGCGCCATACTCCGAGTTCAACCTCGTGCAAAAGATCAACAACAAGTGCAACAAAGATGTTGAATCCGAAAGGAGCGAGAGTATCTAGAAATGCATTCTAATCAAGGGTTAGTAAAGGTGAGAAAGAGACTGGTGGGCATCCTCACGGAGGTTGGCACCCACGAATCAGGTTTGAGGATGGTCTCAACTGCTGTGCTATCGACACCATAATGCTTCTCATAGATGAGACTGCGTGCGGTGGCAACCAACGGACTCCTTGAGGTATCAGAACGCGCAAGAGTCGCGCGTTGTTGCCTATCACGAGCCATACCCAGATGATGAAGCCTTGTTCTCGGTATGAGACATCGCGAGCAGGGACATCCTCCGAGCTGCCGGATAGTGGCAACGAGGACCCTGGTAGAGGTGAGGTGAGGTGAGGTGAGGTTGTATTTTCATCGACGAACATTCATAACTCACTTTTCGGGATAATCTGCGGAATAGGTAAATATGCGCGGGTAAAACCTACGTTTGATGCCGTCGCAGCAGAGAATGACGATTCCATGCTCATAAGCCTCTAAAAATTCGCGATCCAGCAAAATCCTCCACTGGGCTTGGAACAATTCGCGGTGACAATGCGTCGTGCACTCGCGACCAACACCCTTGCCCTCAGTGTGAGTACCCGCGAAGTCTTTGAATGCGTCCGGGAGCTGCATCATGCATGTCAATGCAGAAGAGTAAGTTAATTAAAAAATTAGCATACCTTTTGAAAGTAGGCTACGTGATTACCGAGATGGTGAGACGGTTTACAACGGCGGTACTTGGATTCGTTCCCGAAGTACATATATACCGGCCATAACTTTGCATTGCCGAATGTCGTCAGCTGTGTGGCATCGGACCAGATCATAAGCGCGGTAACCACGCGAGGTAAATCACATCCTGGCTCTCCAGGAGATTCCTGAAGTGTGCTGTGAGCTTCCATGAAAGCTGGTGAAGTGTACAGTTCGCCTTGGATGTTGACTTCTTGCGGTAGATGGGGGGGCTTCCATCGCAACTGATAAGGTTCGTAATGGAAATGTTCGACATCCTCAGCATTTGCGAGCTTTTCGCGAATAACCGATATGAGAGACCGATGGTAAAGGTCTGCTGCAATGTAAGGTCGAACGCCTGGCTGAGCTGTGGTTCGAGAGAAAGGGACTTCGATTGTCACTTCCGTTTTGCGCCAACCTGCATCTTCATCCAACCATTCATCATCCTCTTCATCGACACTCGCACCTAATTTGGAGTTGATCTTGTCCCAATGCGTATGTCGCACATCATTGGGATCAAAATCCGAGCATCCGATGATATCGAGCAAGCCTTTGAAGCTCTGGTGCGACTTCTGTGCCGTGCCATTCCAGTACCAATGCCCAAGCTCGAAGGATGTTTGATTGGGGTATGGGTGAAACGAGTTGTGAGGCTCAGCAGGGCCATACTGACCTGCTGGAGTAGGAATAGGAATAGAACTAATATCGTGAAGTGTTGCGGCCTCTTCTGGGTCATGAGACGGGGGGGTTGAAGAGAAAAACTGGCGCACTAGTCCGAATACATTCCTTGCCGTGCGGAAAGGAGCGGGTCGCGACGACGTACAAGCCGTGGTTAGTACGCTAGTGGAATTTGCGACGGGGATAGATTCCGTTTGTTGAACGATATGACTTGGAACACTGGGGGGAGGCTGCGGGAGTACATCGTCGTACTGCCTATAACGTGATGGCATGCGAACATCAACACGTCGACTTCTGCGTTGCGCCAGTGATAAACCGTCTTCCTCCGTGGATGTTGTGCCGATGTTGGCGTTGGATGCTGCGATGGGTATGTTGTCCTGGATCGAAGAACCTGCAGAAGGCACCTCCCCTGGGGGGTGCACTGCGGCCAAAGGCAAAGACGGGTGAAGACTTGAAGACCCCACACTGTATGTCTCGTTGACATGGTTGGAAGACGACGACGGGGCTTGTGGACAGCGGGGATGTGTAATCGAAGAGGGCGTGCTGATACACACATGCTGTCTGTTCCCATTGGTATCCAGTCGGGCCCGTTTTACAGAGCCTAGGAGATCTTTTGCTTTAGACAAAGCACTGATCAATCGTTTCTTGCCTTTCAGACAGGAACGTTGATGCTTTGTGAATGCACTCTCCTGAGTAAACTCACGTGTGCAAGTGCATTTGAAAAGCCTTTGCGACGAAGCTATATCCATGAAGAGCGAACGGATAAACAATTGAGCACAACAGCAAAAAATTTCAACAGTATAATATAACGTGACAAACCTGAACGTTAAGATGGCCAGCGCGATTACCCGAGTTGCATATTCCCACAGGCCAAGATCCTGGCAGTGCAGGAGGGGCTGGCACACTTGACGGGAGAAAAAAAAGTCGGACCAGCCATGACATGGTTAATTGCAGGATCTATAAAGAGCGATGAGGCCTTGTTGTATCCATCTGCACAATGGAAGCCCCATCCTCACCTTCTTCCGTGATCACTGCCCCACCTGACTGTCACGAAACCGCCGTGAGGCTCGCCAAACTCATGGTAGAAGCCATGACTTGCCGCTTTGCCCTCC